ATTCTGCCGGAAATTCCATCAAGAAGAATCTTGAAATTGGAAAACTCGTTGTCCTGAGAAAATTATGCGTTCACTTTTGGGTTCACCTTGCTCAGCTAATTATTTTGTATTCCTTTATGTCTCAAGATTGAAAAGCTGCAATAGCTAGTTTCTATTAAAAAAAAGAACATTATTCAAAATAAATGTTTGCGCCAGAATGTGTGCATATTTTAGTACACAGAATATAGGACTAAATTAATGATTAAATGATATAAAACATCAATTTTTGTGGAATAATTATTTCGACTTTGTGACCTCGTAACTTTTTTAGTTGCAAAATTGGCAGACTTGGTTTAGAACCTTTTTTTTCTAAAGATCTCTCGAAAAAAAGTTGTGTTTAGGATCAATTTTATCATTTTTAATAAAACACGGTTTCGATTTCTTACTAAATTATCAGTCATTTTTATTAGTAAAGAGAACTGGGCTGGGACTGAATTTAATGAATTCAAAATGCCCAATACTGGTTCAATTTGGAAACATCAATTCAAAGACTTCCTTAATCTTAAACTTTGAATCGGTGGTTCAAATTTGAACTGGCAGTAGGTAGTTCATGAGCAAGATTACATGGTTTCAGGAGGTATGGAGATGCACAGAAGAATCTAAGGAGAAGTGAGAGAAGGGTGAAGGAACTAGTTTTCCAGCAGGATGAAGACAGAAAGAATCATGAAAGAATGCAAGCACTTGTGGATCAGCTTCAGGTAAAAACACAAAATACAATATTCAGTTCTCAAAAGATATATTTTTTAACATTTATTTTTGAATTTTACATTTAACAAAATTTTTAAATAGAGCTGTGAAATAAAACATCTTCTGACTAGCTAATAATACATCAGTTTTCTTTTCCTGTCCTGTAGATCTAATAGATCAATATATATATAATAAAATTTTTAAGTCCAAGATTAAAAGCTACAAGAAGCAGATTGAAGAAGCTGAAGAGATTGCTGCTCTCAATCTGGCCAAATTCAGACAAGTTCAAGGAAATGCAGCAGAGTCAATGGTAAAAAGCTGAAGCACTGAGAATGAAGAAAAAACTAGAAACAGATGTTGGAGATTTGGGAATGGCCCTTGATCATGCTAATGCCAACAATGTAGAGACTCAAAAAACTATTCAAAAGTACCAACTGCAGGTAAGGTTAATTTTACATTCAATAAAACAAAGAGTTACCCGTATGCCGAGTTGAATTACAAGACAGAGAGAGAGCATGCGCACAACTCCTTAGGGCATTCTGCCTCAGGGTTAGTGTGAACGAAAAACTCCAAAATCTTGAAAAGATGCTTCTAGTGTTGTATCTGTGTTATTATTTTCTATAAAAATATGATTGGGAAAGAACTTTACATTGTTTTGAGTTATGGTCCGATTAACAATTACTTTAATTAAATTCTTACAAACTTCAAAACTAGAAAATTTGGAAGTTTTAGATTAAATTTCTATTTTTTAAACCTAGAAATAATTGATTAAAAAACAAGATTTATGAAAAAAAAACTTTTTGCAGCAGGTAAAGAAGTTTTCTTTTAACTTAAGAAGATTGGTTTTTGAACTAAAATATATTGGGAATATTGGTTCATAAAAGGAATAAGATTAGTTAAAGAAAGTCTCGAGATTGGTTCATGATATTTCATAATATATTTTATACGTTACATATATGACATATTTTAAACGACGATTAGTTGGCTGCCAGGTGTCTCTGCTCTCGATGTTTCTGTGGTTTCACGTGGGAGAGACACTTCAAAAATTTCCGTTTTAAGTGCATATTTAACAAATAAAATATAATATGAAATAACCCATCTATCCATCTATTCATCTATTCATTTCTCAACCCATGTATTCATCTATTTATTTCTCAACCAATCTATTCATCTATTCATTTCTCAACCCATCTCTTCATCTATTCCTTTCTCAAACCATCTATCCATCTATTTATTTCTCAACCCATCTATCCATCTATTTATCTATTCATTTCTCAACCCATGTATTCATCTATTTATTTCTCAAGATGAGGACCAATTAAACTTTCATTGTCTAGGTAAGAGATGTTCAAGCTAAGTTTGAAGAAGAATCTCATGCAAAAATCATTGCACAAGATAATCTAGTTACTGCCGAGAGGAAAGCTAATGCAAACAAGAATGCTTTGGAGGAAGCTCGAACTTTACTAGAACAAACTGATAGAAATAGAAGGATGTTGGAACAGGTATTCAATTCTAACTTTTATTTCTATTATTTTTTAATTTATATNGTATAGCGGCTGATCCATTATATACTATTCGTCTCGCCTTTCTTTTAATCTTATTTCAGGATACTAGGGAGGGAGAAGAGGTAGGAGGAAGGTGTACTGTATATAGGACTATGGAGGAGGAAGGTGTACTGTATACAGGACTACGGAGGAGGAAGGTACGTACTATATATAGAACTACGGAGGGGGAAGGTGTACTGTATATAGGACTACGGAGGAGGAAGGTGTACTGTATACAGGACTACGGAGGAGGAAGGTACGTACTATATATAGAACTACGGAGGGGGAAGGTACGTACTATATATAGAACTACGGATGAGGAAGGTACGTACTATATATAGAACTATCAGAGGGGGAAGGTGTACTGTATATAGGGCTACGGAGGAGGAAGGTGTACTGTATATAAGACTACGGAGGAGGAAGGTGTACTGTATATAGGACTACGGAGGAGGAAGGTGTACTGTATATAGAACTAAGGAGGGGAAGGTGTACTGTATATAGAACTACGGAGGGGGAAAGTGTACTGTATATAAGACTACGGAGGAGGAAGGTGTACTTTATATAGGACTACGGAGGAGGAAAGTGTACTGTATATAGAACTACGGAGGGGAAGGTGTACTGTATACAGGACTACGGAGGGGAAGGTATACTGTATATAGAACTACGGAGGGGGAAGGTGTACTGTATATAGAACTACGGAGGGGGAAGGTGTACTGTATATAGAACTACGAAGGGGGAAGGTGTACTGTATATAGGACTACGGAGGGGAAGGTGTACTGTATATAGGACTACGGAGGGGGAAGGTGTACTGTATATAGAACTACGGAGGAGGAAGGTGTACTGTATATAGGACTACGGAGGAGGAAGGTGTACTGTATATAGAACTA